CATGTGACATGAGAAAAAAAGTTAAATTAATTTAAAAATAATTCTGCCTTAACCCCACTTCTACTAATGTTTAGTAATGTAATTTATTTTTCCGTTTGTTAATCATTTGCACCTGTAACATGATAAAATAAAAGTTATGTGGCTAAACCTTACATAACACGCTCTATAAACCRATGATGAAAGAGGTGAGAGGTTCTGTACTGTAAAAGTCCTGTTCTTGAACCGTTAATAACAGGCTTACAAAATACCTGCATTGTGAAGTACAAGCTGTTGGAAACCGTTTTATTGAACTGTGAATGTGTGAGGTAAGAGGGCACGTCTGAAGTTGGAGTTTGGACTCAAAAATCAAAGTGCTCCACTGAACTGATTGCCAGTCTTACATACATTTTTAGATAAAGAAGGACTGCTGCCTCTGTTGAAAACAGGTATGTGAATTTTAAACATTTTAAAGTAAAGATATATTACCAGGAAATGTTAATTTAAATATATACAAAGAGGTTTTAACTGTGCATGTTTACATTTTATTCAGGAGAGAAAAAAAAACTTCATATATTGACCAAGCATGTCCATTTCTGTCCTTTACAGTTTAGGAGCCATGCTTTTGCATCATGTTTGCAAGATTTTCATGAGCTTCAGTATATGTGTGATTTTCCTCACACCACAATGCAATGGGGGCAACATTCTGGTGTTCCCTGTAGATGGCAGCCACTGGATCAATATGAAAGTTATTTTGGAAGAACTTCATGCCAGAGGACACAACATCACTGTGATCAGGCCTTCCACCAGCTGGTACATCACAGAAAACTCTCCTCTCTACTCAACAATCACAATTAAATTCCCGGAAGATTCATTGGACTTTTTTGATGAGTTCATACAGGAGCAACTTACGGTATGAGATTACAGATACATATTTACTTTTACGTTATTTGGCCATTTATCCCTGATAATACTGTACATTTACTGATGTTCTTTTCCCCCAAAYTGATTTTAGGCTCAAAGAGAAGGTGCTTCACTGCTGACTTTGTTCAAGACCACCAAAAGCTATTTTTCTATGATTACTCGAGGACATGAAATTTATTGTAATGGTTTGGCTGAAGTTTTCGATAATCCAAMAATGGTCCAAATGTTAAAAGACTCATCATTTGATCTTGTTCTTTCTGATCCAGGAATAGGAACAGGGGTYGTGTTAGCCAAATATCTCAAATTACCATCAGTCCTCAATGTGCGCTGGATCACCAGTGGAGAGGGCCACTTTGTGATGGCCCCCTCCCCATTCTCCTACATTCCAGTTCCGGGATCTGGTTTTACTGACAAAATGACTTTCATCCAGAGGGTCAAAAACTGGTTCTTCCACAGCATCATTTGGTATCAGGAGAAATTCTTAATGGGACCTATTTACAATGCTATGTGTGATAAGTATATAGAAGGAGGATGTGATATTGTCTCACTGCTTCAGGATGCAGATATCTGGCTGTTCAGGTCTGATTTTGTGTTTGATTTCCCTCGACCAACAATGCCAAATATAGTTTACATTGGAGGATTCCAGTGCAAACCAGCCCAGCCTCTACCAGCAGACCTGGAGGAGTTTGTTCAGAGTGCTGGAGAGCATGGAGTGATCGTCATGACTTTGGGAACTTTTATCCATGCGTTGCCAAAAAAAGTTGCAGAGGACATTGCCAGCGTCTTTGCCAAACTGCCCCAAAAGGTAACAGTTTGTACCCATCAGCTTTTATCAATACTGCATTTGATTTAAATACTTTTATAATGAGTTTAAGAATTTGGCCATTTGACCTTGCCACTGGTAGGTCTTCCCTTTACAATGCAGAAAACCAGGACAGAGCAAAATAAATAAATAAATAAATAAATAAATAAATAAATAAATAAAAGTTACATTATACAGTTTGTCGAGTTATTCACTTAGGTAGAGTGTTATTATAAAAAAATCTGAACTTTAGAAATTGTTTAAACTCAGCCTAAAGAGTCTTTCTATCTACATCTTTGTTCTGACCAGGTGATATGGAGACACAAAGGGGAGCATCCCTCTACCCTGGGCAACAACACTCTAATGATGGACTGGATGCCACAAAAAGACCTCCTGGGTCACCCACAAGTCAAACTCTTCATAGCTCATGGAGGAACTAATGGAGTCCAGGAGGCCATTTACCATGGAGTCCCAGTTCTTGGTATTCCTCTGATCTTTGACCAGTTTGACAACCTTCTACGTCTGCAGGAAAGAGGAGCTGCAAAAATCCTTCAGTTAGCTGAAATCAATGGCCACACATTTGAATCAAGTGTTAAAGAAGTGCTTTATAA